ATTGTCCAGGATGCTCTCAGATGGCCTCTCGCCGAGGAAAAGATGCACACGTCCGAGCGATGCGGTGCTTCGAGTGTGCTTCGTCTGTGGGCTCTCCACCTCGGGCCCTTCTTCGTGCGGGGGGGGCCGCTCGCGGCGGCGCGGGCTTCTTCGGCGCGGGGGGTGCTCGTGCTCACGGCCGGGTGTGCTGGCAACGACGTGGCCGTGCTCGCAGCAATCGTTGGCGTCGCCATCGTCGTCGCCCCCGCCGTGGTCGCCGTCGTCGTCGCTCTCGTCGTCCTCGTGGTCTCCGCCGTCGTCCTCGTCGGCGGAGGAGGAGGCCGAAAGGCGGAGGAGGGGGAATGGCGGGGGAGGAGAGGATAAGGACGGGAGGAGCGGTGATCCGCGATAGGAGATGAAGGGCGGGACGGGGGAAACGCTGAGCAGCGGTGAGCAGAAAGAGCAGGATGAGGGAGGAAGCAGACAGACGAGGCAGAGGAGAAAGGGAACAACACTGGAGGAGGAGGAGGAGGAGGCGGAGAAGGAGGAGAAGCGAAGCGGAAACAGGCAGGCCAGGTGTACAGAGGGATCGTTGGTGCCGTCGTGTTGGTTTGTGCTTGTCCCAGCCGTCACTGAAGGGGATCTTCGTTCGCCGTCGCCCCGTGTTAATGTCTGTGCAGGTGAGAAGGAGCCCTTGGCGCATGCAGTGGGTATCGCCCAACTGCGTCTGCCAAGGCGTTGCCCTGAATCAGAGAGGCTGAGCCTGCTATATGCGTTTGGCGGCCTATCTCTTGAATTGCCACGTCCACAGATACGTCATTCGCAGCGAAGTGCTCCCGCTCGCGCGGATTCGTTTCAATTTCACCTTCGTTTGCCGGCTCGGGGCGAATAACTGTCGTTGCGTACGGTTGGACCGAGGTCTAAGGTCGAGGTTGGTCCGGGGAGTGTACCCTGATGCTCTTCGTGCTTGTGGAATGTTCTTGTGCTTCCCGGGGGACGGCACACTCGAATGCTCTTCAGTTTGGCGGCTGGCGGAGGGACTCATGTTCTTAAGGGATATTCTTCTGCCCTAGGTCCAGCCGTACTTGGTGGGGCCTGGCCAGCGGGGGCCAGCGCCCAGCGGCGCCGAGACGGCCCGTGGGGGGGGGGGGCGGGGGGCGGAGGCCCTGCGGGGGTGGGCGGGGGCTGCCCCGGCCGGCGCAGGAGCCCGGAGACAGCGGGGAGACCTCTAGAAGCCTACGTGGGCCTTCTCGGAGGCTCCTTGCGACGTGCATGCTGCACTTCTCTTGCACTCTGCGCAGAGGCTACGAACGGCCGCTGAAGGCCACTGCGGGTTGCGCCAGGCCGCCACAGGCCACCGGAGGCTGCCGAAAGCCGGCTCCAGGCAGCCGGAGGCCGCAGATGCGACACCAGAGGGGCCGCTCCAGGCCACCGAAGGCTACCACACCGAGGCGGCATACAGCGCGGGTGCGGCCGCAAGAAGCCCTCGCAAGAAACCCGACCGTGAACACCCGCGCGCGAGGTGCACTTCAGGGGAAACCCGGAGCACGCTGAACGCAGCAGCCGCTTCAACGGCTGCGGCAAGTCACCGCGCAGCGCGAGGAGCGAAAAAACCAAGCGCCCCCCGACGCAGAGCAGATGATCTCTTGATGCGCGCCCCCACTGCATGTGAGAATGAACTTCCAACAAAAACTCACCTGGGGAACCAGTTCCCCTCAGGACCCGCCTCGCCCAAGGCGGCAGCTGCACCCCCTCTTTGGCCCCTCGCTCGGATGGTGGCCTGGCCCGTGTGGATGCCGATGCGGATGGCCAGCTGCGGCAGGCCTGGCGCTCCGCACGCGCGAGGGGCGGCGGATGGGAGGAAACACCGCCCTTTCATCCGCCCTCCTCCTCCTCCTCCTCCTCCTCCTTGCCCTCCTCATCCTCTTTCTCCCCCCTCCTCCGCTCTCCCCCCCTCCTCCTCCCCCTCCCCCTCCTCCTCCTCCTCCTCCTCCTCCTCCTCCCCCTCCTCCTCCTCCTCCTCCTCCTCTCCTCCTCCTCCTCATCTTCCTTCCTCCTCCTCCTCCTCATCTTCCTGCTCCTCCTCCTCCTCCTCCTCCTCCTCCTTCTCCTCCTCCTCCTCCTCCTCCTCCTCCTCCCGCTTCTCCTCTTTCTCCCCACCTCCTCCGCTCCCCCCTTCTCCCTCCCCCTCCCCCTCCTCCTCCTCCTCCTCCTCCTCCTCCTCCTCTTCCTCCTCCTCCTCCTCCTCCTCTGCCTCGCGCTGGGCCCCTGGCTGTGCCTGGATTGGTATTGAATCCCGAGGAGCGGCCCATGATGTCCTCGCTTAGAATCCCCCACCTCCGCTCCTCCCTAGCGTGTTGACACGCGATAAGTTCGCCAAAACTTGGGCCAGCACGTTGAGCCAACACGCATCGTGTTGACATGGACGTGTTGAGTACGGCACGTAATGCGTTTCAAAACGGGCGTATCAGGGCAGTCAAGCTCCTCCGAAGGCAGAATCGAAACAAGACCGAACATCCATGATAATCTTCGGGTTTGAAGAATGTGACGGGCGCTGCGGCCGTTTCAGAATGTTCCAAAACTCTCTGAGAGCGTTCCGGAATGTTCTGGAACGGATTTACCTCAATTCTAAGCCCGTCCGATTGTGCCTCTTATCCATCACCACGTCGCCGCACCCCTTACCAGACTCTGCCACCGGGAAAAGCCGAAACGTTGAGTTCCTGATGTGGTGCGCCCTGATGTGGGACAGGAGTCGTTTCAATTCCTTGCATGTGTTTGGTCACACGCTTAGCTATGCAGACCCACTCCTGCCGGCGGCCAGCCGAAGGGCGAAGTGAGAGGGGGCAGGCCTTCTCAGAAGGCGCTGAAGCCCTCGAGCGTTCTGAGAAGCCTTCGAAGCCTTCCCCGAAGACACAGACAGCCTTCCAGAAGGCGCGAGGGATTCTAAGAAGTCCCGCCACCTTGCGAGAAGGTCTCCTTCTCTCTCGCGCGGCGCGTGCAGCCCGAACTGCAAGCCGCTGGTGCCCTAAGGCTCATAAGCGAGCCTGGCCACTTCCCTCGATGCTTCGTCGAGGGCAATGGCTTCGTCTGAGAAGGCCTCTTCTCGCTTCCCCCCTCTACAGGCCCACCAAAGAATGCTCCAAGAACCTCCTGTGGTTCGCACGACGTGTTCTTAGAATATTTCTGGGGCTGGGACTGCCTTCGTTGAACACATTGGCTTTACATGTCCTAAGACCTCTGCCTTTGCTCTTGAAACTTCCTTTGGCTCTGAGATCGGCAATGGACAAACCTCCCTTCAGCAAACCTCCCCTTAATGAAACCGGCCTGGGACCGAAACCGACGGACCTGGACCCGCAAAAATGACGGCCGCGATGCCCTCCCGCGAACCGAAGACGGCCGATTCGCTGATCGACGTGTCCGGGTAGGAGGTCTGTCCGCCCCCGATGGAGCACCTGCCCTGGCAGGCCTCCAGGATCGCTCGCCGCCGACCCCGGCCGCCTGCTCCCGGCCGCTCGCTGGAGGCCCCGGGCCTCCGCGGCGCGCCGCTGCCCTCGGCGCCGCCTCCTCCGAGGCCCTGCGCGCGGGGCGCTCGTGAGCGGGGCGGCAGCCGAGGCTGCGTCTCCCCTCGTGTGCCTCTCGAGGCGCCGCTTCCTGCCGCGCACGAGTGCGGGGTAGACCCCCCCCCCGCCCAGAGTTGTGACGACGTGTCGGCGTGATTGTCGCCCCGATGTATCACGCACCCGTGCGAGGCAAATGCCCTGTCGCCCCGTTCCCGCTTGAAGGGGCCCCTTGGATACCGCCCCGTGTACCAACGCCCCGTTGGCAGGGGCTTGGCTCCTGCACAGGGGCCTAGGGAAGCACAGACAAATGTGCACAAATCCCACGACTCCCACTGTTTGGCGGAATCCGGAAGCCCTGAACCCAAACAAACGTGTTCATCTCTCGGGAGGCGTGTTTTTGTTTTTACTTCCGCGACCTTTCGCCGCCCTTCCGCCAGCTTCCGCCCGCGGAGGCGATCTCGCTTTACTTCAGCCGACCTGTCGTCGCCCTTCCGCCGCCTTCCGCGGCGGAAGAGTTGACAACTCCTTCGATCCTCCAGGGCAAAGTCATATCTGGAACGCCTCGTTTGTCCATATCGTCTGGATTTACGCCTTCCCCTCCATTCACCATCGCTCCCAAGACTTCCGTGGACATAGACGCTTCATGGTGTCTGTGCCTGGGCATCCCGGCTGCGGCACGCCCGACGGCCGTCTGCCTGCCGTGCTTCCGCCTGCACCCTCGGCCCCTGGCCCCGCTTGGGGTCAGGGTGCCTGCGCGGGGCCGCTCCGCGGCGGGTCTCCAGGTCGGGTCTCGCCCTCGGGTGCCAGGTCGTACCCGTCGCCTCCTCCTCCTCCTCCTCCTCCTCCTCCTCCTCCTCCTCCTACTCCTCCTCCTCTTCCGCCTCCTCCTCCTCCTCCTCTTCCGCCTTCTCCTGCTCCTCTTCCTCCTCCTCCTTCTCCTCCTCTTCCTCCTCCTCTATCCTCCTCCTCCTGCTCCTCCTCCTCCTCCTCCTCCTCCTCCTCCTCCTCTGCCTCGCGCTGGGCCCCTGGCTGTGCCTGGTTTGGTATTGAATTCCCCAGGAGCGGCCCATCATGTCCTCGCTCAGAACCCCCACCTCCCGCTCCTCCTCCTCTTCCCCGTCCTCTCTCCCGCCCTCCGATCGCCCTTCTTCGCCCCCCCTCTGTGGTGGCCCGACGTGCGCCGCCGGGGGCCGAGGCGGCCCCGCCGCGCCCACCGCGCCGGGGATCAGAGGTTCTCGTCCCGGCGGGTCCTCTTCTGCTACGCGGCGAGACCTGATGGTCCTGTTTTCCACCACCACCACCACCATAAGCTGGAGGGGGAGGAGGCGGAGGAGGAGGAGGAGGAGGAGGAGGAGGAGGAGGAGGAGGGCGAAGAAGCGCGATCGGAGGGTGGGAGGGAGGGGGAAGAGGAGGGGGAAGAGGAGGAGGAGGAGGAGGAGGAGGAGGAGGAGGAGGAGGAGGAGGAGGAGGACCCCCTCCTCCTCCAACTTCTGGTGGTGGTGGTGGAAAACAAACCCATCAAGACCCGCAACACTTTTTCCTCCAGCTCTTGTGCCTCATTCCCACGGGCCGCTTCGCCCGTTGCGGCCGGGCTGCTTGTCGCATCCAGCTTCCTGCTCTTCTCGGCCCCCTGCGTGCACTGCCGCGCTGGTGCCGCGTCGCACCCGTGAGTGGGGTGCGTGGAATAGTTTCCATGCTGAACCACTCCTTCTGCATCCGGGCGTATGCAGCTCCTGTGCTTCCATTCGCACGAGCCGCTTCGCGTGGCAACCGTAAGTGGGCCGCGGGGGAGAAACCTTCATGCTCATGTTGCGCCCGGGTGTCAGCTGCGCTCCGTACGCTTCGGCACCTGCATGGCCTGTCAGGCGTTTTCCGTGTGCACCCGCTGTATCGCGTTTCTATGTATGCGTCTGCAACGTGAAGCGGTAATTGAGCTAAGCGCGCCCCGCCTTAAGTCTCGCTGTGGTGCTGTTGCCCCAGCGCTGGAGGAAAAGTGTGCGTGTGTGTGCCTCCTGGGGCGCACCTTGCCTCAACTCCCTCCTGGCCGCTGCAGCCGTGCTGCCCACTCCGCACCGTCACTCAACCGCCCTGCCGCCCTCTGGCACTTGTTCCATCCCACCTCCGCCCTGGTCGGGCGGCCTGCCCGTCGCTCCCACGCCCCACCGGTGTGCCTTCGCACCACCGCGCTGTGAACCTTCTTGACCCACGCGCTGCGCTCCACTTCCACTTGTCGCCGCTCACCCCCTCACCCCCTGCCTCACCCCTCCCCTCGCGTCCTCTCTTTCGTGCCCCGGTGACAGTCCCCAATCGGCGAGAGAGCGTGATCCACCGCCGCTTTACTGTGGAAAATTACCAACCTTTTCCTCCGGAGCCCGGGGGTGGTCTCCCCCCCCCCCTCCGAAAATCCCCCCCCCCTGCTGGACCCACCCCCCCTTCCCCCGCGGCAAAACCTCCCCCTCCCCTAACCCCTCCCCCCCCCCTCCCCCTCGAAAACCGGGGGGGGGTCACTACCGGTTCGAACTCCTCCACCCCCCCCCCTCCGGATCCGGAAAACCGGGGGGGGTCACTACCGGTTGGAACCCCCCCCCCCCTCGAAAACCGGAGGGGCGTCACTGCCGGTTCGACCCCCCCCCCACGCACCGCCAGCAAACGACTCCCGGTCCCTACCACCGCTCGCATCACATCCCCCACTATTGTTCCCAGCACCACTGTCCTCACCACCACTGTCCCCACTGGTTCCACCACCGTCCCTATTGTCCCACACCAGTGCCCCCGCCACTGTCGCACTGTCCCCACTGTTCCCACCACTGTTCCCACCACGGTTCCACTCTCCCCACTGTCTCCACGGACCCAACCACTGCCTATCCCCACTGTCCCCACTGTCCCACTGACTCCTCCGCTGTCCCACTGAGCTGTCCCACTGTTTCCACCACTGTCCCCACTGTCCCCACCACTGTCCCCACTGTACCTCTGTCCCATTGTCCCACCGCCGTCCTCGCCACCGCCTTTACCACTGTCCCCACCACCATTGTACCCTCCACTGTCCCACTGTTTCCACCTCATTCCCACTGTCCCCACACCACTGTCCCCACCACCACCGTCCCCACCACTGTCCACTGTCCCCCCTGTTCCCACCATTGTCCCCACCACTGTCCCCACCACTACCGTCCCCACCACTGTCCCACTGTCCCACTGTCCCCACCACTGTCCCGCTGTCCCCTCACCACTGTCCCCACCAACACCGTCCCCACCACTGTCCGCACC